TTAGAAGCCCATCTGTGCTGAGCAGCGACAGAAAAACACAGATTTGTAATGTGAAACTGCTTTAGTCAGTGTTTTTACAGGTTTAACTCAAAGGGTCAGCTTGTTTTGGAGAGGGAAAAAAACTCTGCGGATAATTCAGCTGCTGGTAAATGTCTGGATCTCAAGTTATCAGAGTAAAAGCACACATTAGCATGTGGTGGGTGAGCTGCCTGTTTCCCTCATGCCAAACAGCACCAGAGAAACTTATATATAATATGAAACTGCTTTATTCAGTGTTTTTACCTGTTTTAATCACCTGGTTTGTTTGTTTTGGAGAGGAAAAGAACTCTGCTGATAATCATGCTCCTGGTAAAACCACCTGAACAAAGACCATTCGAAGGAATTCTAACCAGGGGAAGTTTAATCTGGTTGCAATCTGCAATCCTCACCGCCATATGCCAATAAATCCCCCTAAGTATGTGTGTATTATTAGAAAAATTGACTTTAAGTACCAAAGAAAAAAAAAGTACTCAGTGTGTAGTAAAATGTTCCCTGATCAGTGTTTTAATTTTATATGTGAGGCTTTTAGATTAAAACTGCTCATACACGAGACTGCTCACAAGGACGAGGTTAAGTTTTTCCAGTGTACCCTTCCTGGCACTCTGAGCATCACAAGCAGAGTCCCAAGCCAAGAAGCAGTGTTTCGCTGCCTCTACTGCTGCACTTTATTGCTCTAGATATTTAAGGTTGTGTTAATATGCACTCTTTCATATACTGTTGGATAGTTTGAACTGCAATGTATCATATTTTTTAAGTTTATTTTATGTTTGTAGTGTCACTGTCTTGTAGACAAGAAGGGTATGAAAAATTGTAATCTGAAAAGTACCTAAGGCTGTCAGACAAATGTAATGGACTGGAAACTACAATACTTGCCTCTGAAAGTAGTGGAGTAGAAGCTGCATAAAATGGAAATACACAAGTGGACTTTTGGACTTATAAATGGACTTATTTACATTCCACCACTGAAGACAGAAATAGACTAAATAATAATGAACATACTGTAACTACCATGACATCACCTACTAGTTTGTGGACTGCCATTTTGAAGCCTTGATTTTGGCATTTCAGCCATTGCCATCTTGGTTTTTTGGAAACAGAAGTGACCATACTTGGATAAGAGGCTGGAGCTGTGGATGAACGAGGGGCGGATCTGACTCATACAGTGCAGTGACGCCTTGCAGTCATGTGTAACTCTGGGCCTTAATAAAATGTAAGCGGGTGAGTTATAAAACAATTCACCCCTGAACAGTTGTCATGAATGTTGAAATTGGCCATAAAGAGCAAATCTGTTTTTGTACCAGGCTGTAAAGCTGTTTATTTATGCTGTGAAGTTGAGCATTTTAACACGGGGGTCTATGTGGACTGACTCACTTTTGAAGCCAGCCTCAAGTAGTCATTCGATGAACTGCAGTTTTTGGCACTAACACATTGGCTCCATTTTTCAGCCTCGAGGGTTGCCACTTGAGACAAATATGTAGCCTATCAGAAGTGGAGTAATAACTGATACACTAGGCTGTGTCTGCATGGCGGAAACATGTCAGGGTTTATCCTCCATGTTGCCACAGCTGACTGGGGAGGAAGAGACGGTCTCTTCTGTGAAATAAATGTGTCCGGCAGGAGTAGCTCTCCGACTGCACTTCTGGCTGACTAAAGGTGGACCGGCGTGTTCCTCCACTTCTCAGCAGCCAATTTAACATGACTGACAGATAAGTTTCAGCATAAACTTCTCCCTTCCAAAAACAACCCCTTCTTTTCCCTTTAGTCAGTCAAAACAGACTTCCAGAGTAGTAACCCTTACAGTGTCAGTCAACATGACTCTGCCTGCAGGCAAATCACGACAGCACAAAGCTGGCGAGATTTTCCGGGAGCCGTAGGACCCCGCATGTGCGCCTGGAATCACTCCAAAAACTCATCTGCATTATCTATAGCATGAACAGTTAGAAAGCAACGGTCTGACCTTATAGCAAGAGGTTACCTGTGCTGCTGACAGGGAAGGAGCGAAGATTTAACCTCTTTTACCTCTGCGTCTCATAAGAGGAGGAAAGAGAAAAGAATGTAAAAACATGTCTCATCCACGTGAAAACATTCTCTCTAAGTGAAATCCAATTCAAACCATGTTAGTCTTTTGTTTTTTTATCATCCTGTATCATCTTTTATTTTTCCTCTTTTGTCTGCTCTTCACCATCGGTGGCTCCATGCCTCCCAGTGTGCCCACTTTTCCTGAGAGAAGGCCTTTCCTTCAAACTCTTCTCACTATGCCTCCTTCCTTTCCTCCTTTATCTCTCTTTCAGTCCCTCTTGCTCTCTTTTGACAGCTAACGCAGCACCTTTAATGGGAGCTATCCCCTCATTAAATACCTGCAGGTGTCTGCAGCGCTTTGGCAGGGACGGAGAGAGAAAGAGAGATGGAGACAAAGAGAAAGACAAAAAGTGAGAGAACAGTGCCTGGTGTTGTTCAGGCCCTCTCCAACATGACATACAGTCAGATTCCCTGTGCCAAATTTGAATTACTAATGTCTCTGGAGGCAAATGAACCAAGCACAGGGACCAAGGGTCAGGAGGAAAGGTTGAACCAGTATTCCCCTCCAACAGTGATCTGGCCTCTCCTCATAGCCTTTTCGCCTCTTTGACACTCTACTACACAGAATAAAAGAGGAAGAAAGACTAGAGCTGAAGGAGGGCAAAGAGAGAGGAAGGAAAAGGAGGGAGGCTGAGCAGAGGGGGGAGACGAGAGACACCAGGAAGTGGGGAAGGTAGAGTGTGTGTGTGTGTGTGTGTGTGTGGGGGGGGGGGGGGGGGGGGGGGNGGGGGGGGGGGGGGGGGGGGGGGGGGGGGGGGGGGGGGGGGGGGGGGGGGGGGGGGGGGGGGGGGGGGGGGGGGGGGGGGGGGGGGGGGGGTAAGAAACTGTGATGCTCAAAGTGGGAGGTAGCCAGAGATGAAAGGAAAAGGGAAAAGAGGAGGAGGAGGAGATTGGGTTTGAATGAGAGATAAGATGGAGGGGAAAAAGAGGAAGTGGATGAGAGAAGAGAGAAGAGGGAGAGAGAGCTGGGCTCTGGGGCGATGGGGCTCTCTCAGATGCAGGACGAGACCATCTGGACGAAAGCGGAGCCAGGTCTCTGACGGTAAACACTGGGCTTCACTTTCACATGGAAAAAGACCAGGAAAAGAGATTCAAACACCCGTTATGCACTTTCCTACCAACATCCACCCAAACCCTAACTCCGCCAACCGTCCTGCCCACGTGTTGGTGGAAAACGCTACCAGGCCTCACTATTGGCAATCTCATCGTTTACTGCACACAACATCCCACTAGCAGAGTGCCTTTTTTTCTCTAACACACACATGTTTTAGAATTGATTTTAAAAAATCGCTGCCTGTCTATATATCAAGTCTCTGACTTGCTTTAAAAATACGAACTCAGTGACCTCTCAGGTCATCAGGGGCTGTTCTGCTGAATGTTTCCCCAGGTAAAAAATGGTAAAGTCTAAGTTTTTATGCAACACACATCTATAGAAAACTTGTACAGCACCTGGGACTACTCTTAAATCTTTAAAACAACATAAAGAAAATGTTCTCTGACATCTTTATTTATCTACTTTCTACTCCCATTTCTGCTTTTTCTGTTGTACATAGCTTTTACTTTAACCACATTGATTTTTCTTTGTGTGTAGAATATGTTAGATAAATCAGGTTTTGCCTTGCCTTGCTTGTTCATCAGCAGAGCTGGCTAATTACCACAGTGCAACAGATATTTACGGGGGAGGAAGTAGCCACAGAGGACTTGAACCAGCAACCCCACCTCCTCCCCTTCAGGAGAGTGGATGCATTCAGTGAGAGAGGACTCTTCAAGGTAACTAATCCCTCTCTCCTGCAGCTCATTCTCTCCAGCAAACAGTCTCATCCTCAGAATTATGTCCCAACGAGACACGCCTGCACAAACACACACACAATATATGCATAAAATACTCCTACACACACACAAACACACACAAACACACACACACACACACACACACACACACACGACTCTACCCCCCTATCCCACATGGCTCTGCAGAAGCAGCACTGCCCCTCCTACCCCTCTGTCAATAAGCCCAGTTTGGAAACACTTTAAACAGACTTGCACATTGCTCCGCTACAAAAAGGGAAAACTTCAAGACATGCTCTCCTCCATACCCGCAGGGTTAATTAGAATTGTTTTAAACAGCCACTGCCATGCTTTTTAAACATTTATGGGTGCATGCATTACAACTAAGGCATTAACATATCCAGAAAGTTTAACCTCTTCTCTGCTCCCTGGCTCCGTTATGAGGAGCAGAGGGGAACGAGAGAGAGAGAGGACAGTTGACCTCTGCTGCCCCCTGTGTTACAGCTGAAAAACAACAAGGGAATTTTCAATGAGGAGCAGCTGCCGACTTCGGATCAGAGGAATCTGAGCCAAGCCACCATGCAGGCTGAATGACAATCAGCTCGCATGTTAGTGATGAGAGAGAGACCTAAACCCAGAGGCTATGTAGTACCAATAAAAACATACATCATTCACTAACTGGGACATACAATGAGCTGTAGTGTTGAATAAAAAGATGAAGACAGGAATTACAGTTGTGATCACTCCGAGGCAAAAGCACCAATAAAAACAATGAATTAAGATATTTCAACAGTATTTTTAGATTCTATTAAAATTATATATTCTGGGGGAATCCAAGTGTGCACAAGATTCAGCATCAGTATGATCCAATATCACAATTTTGGTTTTAAAAGTCAATCACAGAAGCCTGTGTTTGTCTGCAATGTTGAAATATGAATAATAATTTCCATCTAGCAATATAATCAGGATTATCTCTTTTGAGTGTGCAGCCTGTACTGTGAATTTGTGTGGGAAAGATTTTGAGCTTAAAAATGAAGAGTGTGAACTCGGTGTAACACATAACCTGAGTTTAGGTGAACTTTCTCAACCTTTACCTCACAGAAAAGTGTCAACTTGTCGTCTGGCAGCAGACCGTTGGCCTCGTCCAGCAGGAAGTCCCTCCTAATGAACTTTTTGAAACCCCAGTCCTTCCCCTGGACAAAACGATACGCTCTCTGGCTCTCTGAAAAAGAAAACACACGGACAAACAAGGAGAAACAAGATTATTTGGGAGACTTTCACAACGTGATTAAGCCCTGCGTGTGTGAATGTGTGTGCGAAAGAGAAAGTTTGTTATGAGTCATGGCCATAAGCAGCGGAGAAACAATGGCGAAAGAGGCTGGGTGCAGGAAGTATTGCCTGCAGGGAGCTTTTAACACTTCAGAAGAAAACAGAATCTCTCCCTCTCCCTCTTTCACTCTCTGTATCCTCTCGCTGCCACATAAAGACTAGTGGTAAACATGAGACAGAACTGCTGTGCCTCTTTGGCCAAGAAGTGAGAAATTGCAGGGATCAAAGCAGTCCAATTATCATGTGTTTATGGAGTGCCAATTATCTCTGACAGTGGCAGGAAGGATTCTGTTACACTCAGTTGCACTACAAAGACACAGGAAAGGTGCTGGAGTTCTTGTGTGTACAATAGTCACACTGTGGGGGCGGTCACAGCTATCTACAGTCACCTAACAGTCACAAATGCTCACATACAAGGTCAAAAGATAATGACTATGGACTATGACTGCTGCAGAGATCACAGCAAATTAAAGCTAATTGCTGATAGAAAGGAAGTGAGGCACTCACACATAAATTCTGCAAGTAACTGGAGCTCTGTTGGAGGGATGTAACACCATTCTTTGGAGAAATTACATCACTCGCCATTTTGTTAATGAGTCGAAAATGCTTCCTCAGGCACTGCTCTGGGATTTCTGAATGTGTTCAGCCGAGACAAGCTTCAGACCCTTTTTGAGTATAGAGATGTCTTTGTCCATTCCTATCAGTGTAGACACTCCTCGCCACACGGTGAGCGTAATAACTTAAGGCTGTCTGTGTCTGTTATTATCTAGACTGTCCTATAAAGGCTTAAATGGCATCAAACAATGCAGGAACACCAATTCACTATTCACGTAAGTGAGTACGATGGTAACATTTTATTTATCGAGCACCTTTTGAAACCTAAGTTACAAAGTGCTGTACAAAAGGAAAGAGGTTAAAAGAATAACGTATGACCACAACAATACCATTACAACACAATTAGCAGCATCACAGCTTAAAACAGAGTACATGATTCAAGTACAAAAACACTGCAAAAAGATAGGTCTTCAGCTGTGACTTTAAACCTTCAAGAGAGTTTGCTGACCTGACCCCCTGAGGGAGACTGCTCCACAACCTGGGGCCAAGGACAGCAAACGCACAGTCCCCTCATGTTTGCAGTCCTGAGTGAGATACACCAAGCCTAAAATTGATCAGCAGCCAACGAAGCAACATCAGAACCGGGGTGATGTGAGTGTGATATGAGGTCTTACTGAGTAGTCTTGCTGCAGACTTTTGAACTAACTGTAACCATGAAACAGCGTCGTGGCTTAGGCAGGAGTGAAGAGCATTATAGTAGTCTAAGTGGGAGGACACAAAAGAGTGGATCATCGTTTCTAACTGCTGGAGGAACAGTAGGGGATATTAGAAATAGGGGATATTTCTAATATCAAAGTAGCACGACTGAATAACTGTCTTGATGTGTTCATCAAATCTGAGCTGATAGTCAAGAGTGACTCCTAGTTTTTTAGCAAAAGATTGTCCATTTGTGGCCGATGAACCAAGGTGTTGGACGATGTTTTTAGAGACCTGATCTGGGGCAAAAACCAAAATTTCAGTTTTACTGTGATTTAACTGGGGAAAATTTTGAGACATTTAGTTACCTTGGTAAGACACTTGTGCAGAATAGGTGAGACACGTGGTAAATAAGTGATGTAAAAGGTCACCGGGCATAACGGAAAGGTAAAGTTGTGTATCATCAGCATAGCAATGATAGAACATACAACGAAACTGATGGATATAAGTGCCCTTAGGGGAGCATTTATAAGAAAAAGTATTTTCTTTAACAGACATGATCTGGATAATTGTGTTGAGAAAGAGCAAAAACACGATCCAGGACCAAATTCACTATTAAAGATTCAATCACCACAGGAGGTTTTGCAATACTCATTTGACCAGACTGGAACAGTGTAATAGTGATGTGTCCCCAGTCTCCATACCATAGCTAAATCAGCAATTTGTACTTGAATCAAATCAGAAAGCTCACAAACCCAACAGGAATTTCCTGGAGGAGGATGTAAGTATTAAGAGGGTAATGAGGTGCCTAGCAGGCTGGGATTTGCAAGAGATGTCTGATTTCAATATGCACATAAGGATTATTTTAATGTAAATGTTATCATATCCTTAGAAGTTTGAACTAAACAACTAATTGAGACTTTTAAAATGGAAAACAGGATGAGCAATGAGCAACTAAAAAAGAAAAATAGACAAAATGAAAACAGCTGTGTCGATCCCGTGCCTGCTTGAGCGGCCTGAATTCTCACCAAAAGACACTGCATAAATGTTTTAGCCTTGATATAACCAATATCAGTAAATATTCTCACTGTATTTTTCTTGGCTGATTGCACTGTGTGCCTGGCGCTAGGCTGCTAGGACTGTTTGAATTTAGAAGCGATGTACGCTTGGATGGAATTGGTGACACAGATGTGCCATGGGAATTTCAAAATAAAGGTGTATCTTAAAGATATATATATAGGTTTTTTTCACTTTGCATCAATAATGTTGGATTGTTGAATCATCACTGAATCGATATCCATTATCCATATCGATGTTTCGTTAAAACCCCTGATTTGCACATCAATACATTTTTCAAACTGTTGCTTTTATCATACTATACGCAAATTTTACACCGCAAAAAAAGTGCAGTTTAAATGCAGGTGAGTATTTTGCATTTTTGTGTCATTTATTCATCACGCCAAAGGCATTTATTCAGGAGATTTTAGAGCCCCACACACCCAGAGGTCATCACCTCTCACCTTTATACATCAGCAGTTTGTGCAGACTACACGTGTTTAGCCCCAGCAGTTCAAACTGATATCTCTTCAGGCTGCTCTTGTGTAGAGATCCCAACAGGAGATCTGCTGACAGATCACAGTGGGAAACACTAAGATGAAGTGTCAATGCTGCTGTAAGATCCTGTGTCAAATCCCCTGTTTGGATCTGAGGGAGCAGGCAGCCTAAGAGGGGATTGGTGGAGGAGTGCAGTGCATATGCAGTTATTCCCACCACTGCTCATGCAGGCGGTCCTTCACTGTAATCCCTAGCCCTGGGGACCGTGTACGCAAAGACGTTGACAGAAATCACCATGCAAACACACACACCCATGCATAAGCATGCATGCAAGTACAAAAATTACAAATCCTTGCATTCTGCTTTTTCACAGCACTGTACTTTATTCATTGTTCTGGCACTGAGTGTAACAGAGGATGGGTGTCAGTGCTTCCAAAATAAGACTGAGTTTTATAGACCAAAGATCTTTCACCCAAAGACGAGCAGGTTTGAAAAGAGAGTCAAACTTCTGCGGCCTTGGTGCACTGTACTATTTGTGGCTGGGTAGACACTAAGTAATAGAAATACTACCTGAATCCCTCTCAAGGGTATGAAGAAAAAATCTTTCTCTGCTGACTTTCACCTACTCTTTCATGTCCTTTAAATGTGTTTGATAAGACCTAGCATGTGAGACCCAGATGAAGTCCCAAGGCTCAGACTCTCCTTGTGAAGTTGTGTTATTTGGGTATGAAAACAAGACTCGCAGTGATGAGTGAGGACTTCCCCAGTGGCAGTATCTAAAGCCTAACTCGGGTGTGAGGAGAGGGGTTGGCAGGAGAGTGAGATTGGGGGGGGGGGGGGGGGGGGGCAGCCATGAGGAAGAGGTGAGGAAAGGTGAGAGGGAATGCTGAAAGAAGCTCCAGCAGACTAGTGGGGAGGGAGAGAGAGGTGTGACTTCTTCAGTGCTTACCCGTGACAGCGAGGTGCTTCTGTGTGTGCGTATGTGTGAATGTGCACATGTATATAGGAATCAATGATGAGGGTGTGTGTGTGAGTGTGTGCTGAGCTCAGCTAACGCCATGCTGCCATTTCTAGTGGGGCATCAGAAACCTGCACTGGCAGAGAATCAACTGCAGGTCAGATCGCTGGCGCTTGCTCTTTCAGTGAGCCGGCCAAGGTGGCGGGAGTACAACCACTCTGCCAGAATACCAAAAAAATCTGGACAGTGGTGGAGGGGGTCGGCACAACTGAGATGTGAGAGTATGAAAAAAACCGACAGATTAAAAAGCGTAGACAGGAGACTGTGTTCTTTGTCAAATACACATCATAATTATGATGGAACTTGTGTGAAAAATCACAGTTACAATATATATAGATACCACTCAATAATAACAGATATGATTTTCAAGTTTGATAGTTCCCCGGCATTGAGGAGTGAAGTTTCTCACCCTGCCAACAAAAAAAAAAGACTGAAGGTGACGGGAAAGGTGAGAAAAACGAGGTCTGAGCTGCAGACAGGGAGAAGACAAGGAGAGCGGGAGCGACGCCATGGTGTTTAAGTGAGCGGGGCATCCATATTCAGGCGGAGGGCCCAGGGGCATGGTTGGCACACAGAACGAGAAGGTCGCCAGAAGACGGGCTGGCATGTAGAAAAATAACAGCCGACACAGCAGCCAGAGTCAACATCTCTCTTCCTGTCTGTCACTCTTTTGGCCTTCTCTTTTCACACATTCAACTTAAGCAAAATCCCTACACTAACCACCACTCACAACCACGCTAACATCCATTCCCCAATCTTTCAAAACATATCGACGCAAAAGGGCAATTAGCAAAGCCATTACCTGACCAGTCTATACAACTGTGTATTTATCTGACTAGTAACAGAGTTTAAAAAGCTAATATAAAACTTTATTCCCTCCACACATCGATTCATATTGCATAAAGCAGACAGAAAAACATATAAACATGACACACAGTCTTTCCAGGAAGAAAATCTAATCTCTATTGAAGATTGAGCTCTATAAACTGGTGTCAGCACAAACATGTCTATTGACATCCTTTCCACCAATGTCAATACCATCTGATTATGTAAAGACTGACCAATAGCTTCAACTCTATTAGCCATGCTCCACTCACCCACACAGAATGCCTGATCACCTTCATCAGTCACTGAGGGCAACAGACTCTGACAAGCTCACACACAGAGCTTCAATTAACTGAAACCAAGAGAGGAAAAAACACACTGAATCTCCAGCTACAAAATATAGAAGCAGCCCACAGCAAAAACCTGCTGTAACTAGACTCTCCGGCCAACTCATACACACATAAGCTCACTTAGCCTTTGGCTACAAAACAACAAAACCATTGTCTGTAGGGGAGACTTAACAAGGAGACTATTTGAATACAAAACAGCTTGCGGCAGAGGATGAGAACTTTCCATCTCTCCTCTCCGAGCTGTCAGAACAGGAGTCTGCAGGGGGGCAGATGTTTTCTCTGGCAAAAGGAGAGGGAAGAGGGGGGGTGTCATGAGACAAGTTACAACCCACCCAACAGCCTCAGAGGAGCGAACCAGCACATTAAGCCAGGGAGAGAAATGATGTGGCCAAGCTCAGAGTACGAGCGTACGGTGTGGGGAAGGGGGGTTTGTGGGCTACCACTGCTGCCTGAATCTATCTCCATTAGCAAGTAGGGACCATCAGAGGATCCAGACACAGACAAACACTCTCTAGTGGGGGCTCAAGGGCTGACTGATGCCGATGTGATGTTTCATCAGATAACGTCAAGCTTTCCAGTCAAAATCTGCCATCGTAGTACAGCGTTCAAATGTTGGACTGTGTTTTTAAACCTCCTCCTTAAAGTATTGCAGGGATGCCTCAACTCTCAATATGCACATGCCAGTCAACACAAATCAAAATTTATATCTGCTCAGAGAGTCTGGGTAAAATTAAACAATGAGTGTATGACCAATGCTTTTGCATTAGCCTGGCTTGTAAGCGAGCGATTGCCTCATCCAAGAGCTACAAAAGACAGAAATTCAAACCGACACGTCAAACACAGACTTCAGCTCCTCAGTTGTTCAGCTCAGCACTGAGAATTTCCATCTGCAGGATTCTGACATTTGCCTTCGATAGCAATGTTACTCTGCTATATTTCAGTACAGTGTACTCACTACAGTTTCAAAACGTCTGTGTCTTTACTGATTATCCACTCAGTCTTCTACCTAACTATTCCTGTTTAAAGTACTCATAAAGTATGAGGCCCAGTATGCATTGTATTAGAAATTGTTCCCATAGGGACAAAGTGTATAAGCAGGCCAAGCAGTGACCTGCCACATAAACAGTCCACAGCCACCCAGCTTTCTTAATTAAGGCACTTTGTTTTTATTTGGCCTCTTTTGCTAGAGGCCTGGATTAAATTGGATTCTAAATGATCCAGAACCGATAGAGCAATCTTTACTGCCATATTCTTAGACAGAGTGCTCACTAAGCTGTCACAAATATGCTGGCAGTTGGGTAATTTTCTCCTGTGACAGGGCGAGCGAAGTGGAGGGCCCAGGTCTCCCCAGGGGGATTGTGGGAAGATTGGAGGAGGGCATATGGCAAGAATAGGATGGGGTGTGCACCATAGAGCACACCATTTATAGGCGAAAGCCCCTTGAGACACAAAAAGAGAGGAGGAGAGGAAAATGAGATCCTCTTCACTTCACTCGGTATTCCCCATATTCAGGCTTTTCTGGGGTCATTTAAGAGAGCAGTGCTCATGAAATGGCCAAGCAGTGAAGTCACACACCTCAAAGGCCTGTTTATTACTTATACCTCAGGCAAATCTTCTCCACAATACCTTAAAGCCACCAGCATACAGTATGATAGCCAGGAGAGGAAGCTTTAAGAACAATAACCACAGTGAGGTTCAGCTTTCGTGAGCCTGTTGCTGCGAGTCAGGAGGTGGTATTGCAACATTACAGGGCAGAAGTGGAATAAAAAAAGGATAAAAGAAAAAGAAAGTGACATTGTGAACGTGAAAGAGAGCTGAGAGAGAGAGAGAGGTCTGAGTGAGCAAATTAGGGAGCGAAAGTTACACACACGGAGGTGGGGGTGTCAAGTTCACATGGGGGAATGTTTCTCAGCAGGAAAAATGATTTCCCTTTCTACACAACCTGCACCGCAGGGGGTTGTACACAGTTTCACCACATACGCCTCCGATTCAAACACACTTCCGCCTCCCACCTCTTCTCTCCTCTGCCTCCCTCCCACCCGCCCCATCCTCCCTCCTCCACGCTTCCTGTACAGTACGCTGCAGGGCACTGGGAAAGAGGGAGGCAGCCAGAAAGCCTGATAACCAGGAAGCGGTCACATCTGGCCCTCACTAATTCAATTCCACACAAGTTTGCTTTTTCCTCCCCATAACATAACCTAATTAAAAAAAAGCAGGAATTGGAGGCACATTCATTTCCAATTCATCAGCAGGGAGAGAGGCGGACGAAGACTTCTAAAAAGGTTGGGCCTTTTTTAATTAAAATCAAAATTGCCCCACGCTACTTTGAATTATATATTTACTAGAAATGAATCCAACCAGCAGTGATTACACAAGCCCATATGGCTATCAATACCTCACATTATTAGACACACTTGGAGTATTAGACACACTCCCCACCTCCTGCATTTACAAATTTCAGTGCCCCAAAGACACAGGTGTGACAGGAGTTTTTAATTTTGAACCTCTCCAACTTTGAGATATCCTCAGTTTTTTTGCTGAACATAGACTTATATGCGAGTCTGAATAGTTTTTCAGTTATTAATGCCAACTTATTTCCAAGTTAAGAAAAATATAGAAGTGATTGACAGTCAGGAGAAATGAGGACCCGTGTTCCAGAGTGGTGGGGTCTCATTTATAACGTACGCACAAACGAGGCCTGAAAGCAACGTACGGAATCCCCCACTCAAAAGTTGTGATCTAGAAAAACAAACTAGACAGGAGAATGTGTGTACCTGTAGGGAAACTCTGACCCGTCTGTACGAACATGGTAGAGAAAGGGGAAATTGCCGACGCAGATAGTGAGGTGGTAAACTGAAGCCAGATTGTTGAAAATAAACAGGAGAGAAATCATTATACGTAGAATGATGCCTTTCACACAATAAATTACACTTCACATCACACGTCACTTAAAGATCCGCTTTCTTAAGTGGAGTGCAAAGGAGAGAGTCGGACTGTACGCTGCTGTCAATCATGGTCAGCTGTGGAGCACACAACAGCTGCTGAAACGCACACATCAAATAGCATGTAATACCTGCATAACAGAGCGTCAATGGTTTTCAATAATACCTTCTAATACTGTGCATATATCACCGAGTATGACAAGTTTTCGTATTGTTTTTGTGTGTAAAATCACTGTGGTGAACATGGCTATGCTGTCACTGGACTGGACATCACAGTGGCTGCCACACACACTTTGCCTTCTTCCAGTGACCTTGCCTACATCTTCACCACCTGCACATGTGGATTGTGTAAATTAGCAATGTCTGGGAATAAAGCCAGTGACAGCTCTTGTGCAATCATTACATATATCTTTATTATGAACATAATACAGGCCAAGCTCGCCTTAACAAACTTAAATAAATAAATTGTGTTCCCCTTTCAAACTTCTTCAAATGATATCTCAGGGTTGGGGATACCAGCGATTGTCGTGGTTATTTTTGCATGGTGTGAAGTCATCAGTCTGATTGCTATAAACACTTAAATACTGCACTGGCAATCAGTTGTTGCCACGATTCACTGTAAAGAACCATTGGTCAGCAGGTTAATTTCAATGTATCAACATTCTTGAGTAGCTTAGAATTGACCATTTATGGTTGAATGTGGGCGTGTTGAGGGCAGGACATGAGGCTGATCCATGTATGGAATATTCCAAGTCGATTTAGGATTTATAAAAGGCAGGCATACGCACAGTTTTACAAACAGTTTGTCCGCATTCACACTTTTACTATGGACCCTACACATTGTCTTATAAATTAGACCCCTGGTCAGCATCAACTGATTTTTGTCACACTTACCCATTGCTTTGGTCTCCTCTCCTTTGGCATTGAGGATTGAAAACTTAAACTTGGCGCGCACCTCACTTTTTGGGCAGCTGACTAAGAGCAAGTAAAGTGACAGATAGTCTTTACTCTCCTCATCCAGACCTTTAGGGTTCACACGCAAACACCTGGAGGCAGGAAAACAAAGAAACATACCAATCAGACAGATGAAGCTAAAGTGATGCTTTGAATCCTGGAAGCATTGTGTACACCATGTTTGTATGCAATAATAATATTATCCTATCACTAATGACACCATGGCTATTAGAATGTATGTCTGAGTTATTCTGTGAAGACTGTTGCCGATTTTGCATCCTTGACTACACAGTCAGATCTATTGATTTCATGCACAACCCTTCACTTGAGCCAAAGTGATGGTATGATAGTATTGATTCTGCAATGCATGCTACTATGTAAGATGTATCACTACATCTGAAGTGGAATATACAGCCCTGAATAAGCCTTTTTTTTTTTTACAAAGCTGAAATCAAAACCATGCTCTATCTATTCACTCCATAATGAAAAGCTTTTAGTTTCACAAAGTTTTATAGGCAGCCGAGACGAAAGCACGTGGACCAAGGAGCGAAGAGTCTGAGCCTTTTTCACACACAGCAATATGAGCATGAATGCCAATATTTCAATGTCAAACAGCAATAAACTGGCGAAAGCACAACATTCCACAGTTCAAGCATGCACGGGAGAAGAGAGGAAACGGCTCCACATCAGCAATGCAACAGAAAGTACCTCAGTGCTGCTGCTGTATCGATATGATACTGTACTGTTTAAGCATCGTAGCTGAAACCGTAACACAACATTGATTACTTAACCCCCTCCCTCTCCCTCTGAATAGGCACGCAGCTTTCTAGGTAACCTTCCTGAAAATAAACGAGAGATAACTCTACTAAACCTACTGCAGATTCAATGTTCCACTTTCTTTCGGAACAAAAATACATCAGGAACACAAACAATATATTTTACCCAGGGTATTCAAAAGATTTGCTGCGTTCAGTACATTAATGCTGCGGGGGAGTCACAGTCTCTTTATGTTTACATAGAGCAGTTTCATAAAAGAATCCTTGTGCTTTTGTAGCATATGGGTTTTTTGTTGCGCAGGCTTTTATATGGTTTCAGAACAGAAAAATGAAACACATCACCATGTGAACTATTACTTAACATGTGAAGCATCTGGAAGCTGTTATTCTGCTAAACCATTTGAGACAAATACATTTTACAAACAGTAACAATCTTCATGCGATGGAGCTCTTTAGAGACAACACTGACAAGAAAAATCGATATCTATACATTTATTCTGTAATGTATTATTCATGTAGACGGCAATGGCCCAATAGCTCAACTCAAATTAACCCTATTATAAAAACTATTGGTGGGTAAAAGAAAAAAGGCACTCTGACTTTACATTTAAGATTTTTCGTACTGACAATATACTGCCGAATGCGTAGGCCATAGGTTTTTTTCTAATGCTGTTGATAACATTGACAAGTCCTTGAATTCATCAGTGTAAGGCTTTTCATTACTGTTGTTGTTAGAATCTGTGCTCCCTTGCTGTACTGCCTAAAGGTGAAGGGCTGACCTGCAGTGCACTCTGGAGCTCATTTCTTTAACAAGCATCTATAAGAGCCCCCAAGACACAGGCAAAAAATGCCACTGACAGTGAGGGGTGACACAGAGGGCTTGAAAAGACCAGTCACAATTGTTCACTTAGATAAGATGAAAAAGCAGGTAAATGGTCTCGTCTGAGCACTTACAGGAGGAAGTGGACTAATGGCATAAAGTCCAAAAACAACTTAGGTTGATGTGGTATTTGAAGAAAAAGCCAGGCCATTCTCAAAAATTGCACATCTCCATTTATTTCTAATTTAAGCAGGTAACTTAACAAACCCAGGCCCACTGTTGTGTGTTATTTTACCCGAGGCTACAGCCACAGTCATTACTTTTAGCCCCCTCCAAATAGCCATGTTTTTGTGTGAGATACAAAATCTGTTTCCCCGCTCTCTGGAAGCTCTTCTGTGAACATGAAACCATGGCATTTTATGACACTGTTCAATATCAAAGTGCATGCGGCTCTTGTATCTGTAGCCTATCTCTAGTCTACTTTATACTTAAAGGGGACCTGTCATGCTCATTTTCAGGTTCAGACTTGTATTTTGGGGCTCTAATAGAACATGTTTGCATGACTCAATGTTCAAAAAACGCTTTATTTTCCTCATAGTGTCTGTGCTAGAACATCTAGCATCACCCTCTATCTGAAATGCTCTGTTTAAGCACCCCTCCTGAAAAAGCCCACTCTGCTCTGATTGGTCAGCGTTTCTGAATCTTATGTATCTCAGTGTCTCTGAACAGTCATTGTGTCATTAGTGACACTTTATACCGTAAAAAAAATACCGAAAAAGCTTCTGAACACAACAGGACACGTTCCAGCAGGAATATGATCCAAAATCGGGGAGAAATTAACAACATAAGCAATCAAGACTACAAGTTTCCCTGACATGACATGTAGCTATAAGTAACAGTGTAGGCTACAAAATGTAAACACGCACAGTAGTGTGCCTGGACCAGATGACAATGGCGTCAGCTTGTCTCGAAAGTAGAAAAACATGACAAAAAATACAGACAAGTAAAATAGGTCCCCTTTAATACAAACAGGGTAGCTGCATATGTTGATCTAATTTATTATCGTAAGCAAAAGTTCAACCCATCAGCCCGTTGGAGTCTGGTTGTCACTGGAATCAAGTTAAGAAAGGTCGCCAAGACGTTCTTCACCCAAGCTACTTTATTCAGGTGTGATAAGTAATCCTTCAGTGTTCTAGGTCTCAAACCAAGTCCACCCTAGTGTTGTCAAAAATAGTGATTCACTGATTCATATTGATGAAAACTGTTTCAGTACTCATTTCCTGCAGTACTGATACACTGAGACAGCTTCACTTTCTCACTCTCTCTTAATGTTAATGTTTTCTAAAGTCATTCTGCTGTTCTCTGCCTCTAACCAAAAAAAGAAAAGTCATTGCTGTCATGTCCTAGCCTTGTTATCCTTATCTTTCAATAAAAATTGTAAATTTTCAGCCCTGAAAGTCATTTTTTTCCTGTGGTTTCAAAAATAGTATTGAATATCAATATTTATTAAGGTATTGCATTCAAGTTAGAAATTCCAGTTTTGTATCAAAACTAGTCCAGCAATACTTTCCAGAGCAAACCACCGCAGACAGAAATCTTATTTCTCCACTAAATGTTTGTTTTAACAAGTAACCGAAGCCTTCTTTCCACTGTCCTACATCGTATGAAGGGAGTAAAGGAGGAAGTCAGGCCATATAGTGTAAAGACCGACAAAGTCCATGGAGGGAGAAAGGTCAAGGGGTGGTGGACAGGTCAAACATACACAGGACATTGACCCAAGGGACTGTGGGTTATGTCGTGTGTGAAACCAAAAGTCAGCATTGAATTATTTTAAGTCATGCCACGTCATCATTATGTTAAGTAGGTGACGTGATGATGCCAAATTGTAATCCTTCTCCTAACCTCGAGTGCAGTTAAGATATCACATAAACCACTGTATGAGGACACCTTGCAGTGTGACACACCAATATTTGGAGCAGGTCCTCAAGTACATTTTTTATGGGAGCCACACCCATACTGCCTTGCCACTGCAGACTGCTGACTACCTCTGTGACCTCTGGTAAAGTAATGAGCAAGGCCTCCCCAAAATTTTTGCCTCTTCTACAGAGGACGTGATGACAGAAATTCCTTCTCTAAATATGAATACTTAACTAGCTATATAATTTACATTCATTTCCTGTGTTAGTGTGCTTAATTTTATGTGAGTCACATATACGTGCATTTGTCCTGACATTAATCATGGTTATATTTTTCACTCTGAGCCTATTACAATGTGAGGAAGTAAAGATACAGCCAGACTAAATTCAAGCATGACTAAGTGCTACAAAAATTATTATTCCAAACACACATGTGAGTAAATGTGAGTGGTGATACAGACGAGATGAAGGCACACTAGATGCCACTGAAGCAAGCAACTGGAAGCTTCAATCTCTTGAAAACAATGTTGTACCTCTCAAAGATGCAACAAGTGGATAACGCTTGAGAGAGCTGTTGGAGAAAATGTTCCCCAACAACTCTTTTAGAGCGAGAATGTTGCATCTTGAATACCTCACCAGCCTTCACTTACCATTTAAGTTTGTCGTTGGCTCCTGAGGAGAAAGTGGAGCTTTTGATGACCTCTCCCATCTCCTCGCGACAGAAGCTGAAGTTGTTGATGGTCCACATGTAGGAGAACTTCACCACTTTGATCTGTATGAAAAAGACACAGGTAGCTGAAACCACATCTCCTTTTTTTTTATATATTTATCTATTCTATATGGGTAAGTGGTGTTTGGTCAGCCCGGACTTCAAAACCGCACATCAAAACTGCCTTTCATCTTAATAAACACCGACAACAAACGGAGGGAAAGAAGAAAGGATATTGTAAAAGCGGCAACAGGGGGAAAAAAAACAAAACAATTTTGCAGGAGGAGATGAAAAAACAGACATCATCAATGACATACTTTATGTACCTTGGCTCTTAACAGGAAAGTGATGTCTGAACTAGCAAAGCCTGCACTGAAACAACCATGATTTCACAGTATAGGTAACCTTTAAACAAAGCCTAAAATGAAAACACAAATTAGGCTTGTAATATTGAATCAGTCTGGAAAACAGAGACGTGAATCTTTCCACTCAACTGCTCATTGACCAGTCGCATGAAATATGAAGATTTAAGGATTACTGGTGTATATATTAAGTGAAATTCTTCTGTTTTGATTGACAGGCTTACTTTCAGATGTAACGGCTGTGTCCACTGAGCAAAAGTGGGCACCACAAGCCTTCTTTTTTACCAAGAAAATACATATATTTGATGGCAATTAGCTCCTTTAACATTATGCAAAAACTCTGAGAGAATACAAAAAATGGATTATCAGTGTTAGTTATGCTCTCCACGCAGAAATGTGCTCCTATCTGAGGCAAACGTGCTTCTACACACTCCCTCCTCACCTGAGTATAACACCAGCTCTCGGCCATGGGACCGCTGGACATTTCCACCGGGGGAGGGGGGCTTGGGGCTCTGGACATTGCCAGCCTTGATGCAGAGATGACCTGAATGGGGCCAGAGCACCAGCCAGGTGTGGGGAGAGGTGCTACGGGGTGTGCAGGGGAGGGAAGAGCCAATAATCAGTCAAGTTGGCTGTCTCTTAAACAACGCCTGCCGTACGGAGAGCTGCAGAGAGATGAATCCTGTAAAACAGGACGTCCAGACTCCAAAATAGCTACAGGCGCTCTGTAGGGATACAAAAACACAGTCATTAAAATAGATTTTAAACTAGTGAAGCACATTACTGTGAAAAGCTGTGACCTTGTGTGAGTGCCCGTGTGTATGTGTCTGTGTTTGAGCATGTCAAGGCAATTCCTAATTGAATGGTTAGTCTAATTGAGTGGTATTTCCTAGTAAGTAGGACGTAAGGGGTCTGAATTCATTTGCTTTAAAGGAGGCTTCAGTATTCAAAGCACAGCAGCGGCGCAAGCTCTGCTTCACTGGGGGAAGCCTTTCTTTATCTGCGCGTGGTTTCGTCTTTGTTTTGCTTTGAGAGGAGCAGAGCGCTGTGCCAGCCATCTGATTCCAGCCAGGCTGCGCCCGTCCACCGTGGCTCTAAGTGAAGTGCAAGACTTTCATCTCAAGCTGCCAGTCTGTACTCACACAAACACACACACAAGGTCATGCAGTACTTTTAAAAGCCAGTGCTGGCTAAGAAAGGTCATAGTTGTTTTTCATAAGAAGCTACGCATCCAGTTTTATTTTCATTCTGAAATGCTGCAGTCGTCACATCACTTCTCACTTTCTGTTTGTGGCAAAGGGAAACTTCCTCATTATTTTAGTCTAATTTTTGGTTGTTTCCTACACTAGCAGTCTCATGGGACTGAAAATCTTTTGAAAAAAAAGAAAGAAAAAGAAACACGTGACAGTACGGTTTCAAAGCTTCATTTCTCTGCTGCCTAAATCTCTAATTTCCGCTGGTTTCATGCTCTGCTCCTCTCAAGTTCCTCTCCACACATTTCATACCTAAGTCGGTGCAAGGTCTCAGGATCTGGCTTTTCTCACTCAACCTGCACATCTCCCCCGATCTCCTGCCAAAGAAACCCTTCCACTCTGCTGCTTAATTAGTGGCTGATTGAAAGAGAAGTTCAGGACCTGAGAAAACTTGGCAGAAACTGAGTATCAGACCGAGAGCGCAGTGAGACAGAGCGAGAAATGAGAGAATGGGTGAAAAGTGAGACAGACCTCTGTCTTTGCAAGTGGATTGGAGACAGGAGAGGCGACCTCAGCAGCTCCAGACCCAGACACGACTTAATTAATGTTTAGAGATAACGCCTGCATCTGATCTTCCTCAATCCAGTGCCCCCCTTTTCTTCTTTTGTGCTATTTGTATCTGATGAAAAACACTGGTGGCATTTTCACTCAGTAAAACAATAAAATATTAATCATAAAAGTTGGGAGAACAAGGCTGCACTGATTTGCAATTTAAATTACCTGAGACTTCCTGGCAATTAATTATAGTCTATATGAGTGAGTGAGGGCGTATACGCGGATTTTTCGCACACGTGTGTTCCTCTCTGTGTGTTTGTGCCATCATTCAGGCTTTGTTCCACAGCATATCTGAAGCACAATTTACCAAGTGCTTTTCTTGTATCCTGTCCCTTAAAGAGCAACATGAATGCCAAGTAATCACAGGGAATCAATTTAAGAAAACATGACAACACTGGCAGCACTGCTAACAGCCTCACAGCTTTCTAAATAGACCCAGATGACACTTAACCAGAATAAAGCTAAGGATGTTTTTTTTTTCATCCTTTTCATGACAAACATCAAGAGCAGAGCAGCAGGAGGAAAGAAGCAATAACAACTCTGAGAGATGGAGGAGATGTGTGCTAATCATAGGGCTCCCTCAGAAGAAATGTCTTCAGACAGTTCATTTGTCATGGGAATCAGGTGATGACAGCATGAATGGGAAGAATGACTAATAGGTGATAATGCACACAGCATAGAGAAAATAAATATTGTCACATTACAGTGTACGGCAGGCAGAGTTTTACAAAGACTGTGTTCCCCCAAAGGCAATTAAAAGACAAAGTAAAGCGGTAATGGAGGTGCTGGGCTTCAGATAAGGGACTGTTTGTTGCTACTACTTGGGCTCCATCAGCACCTCGTAGGCTGGATAAAAGGCACTGGAAATAAAGATGAGGGTATGGGTGCTCAGAGAGAGCGATGCAGAAAGACAGCAAACTAGTTCAGATTCTGCACAGTGTATGTCTTAATCTCTTCACTTGCAAACACAGCAAACTAAAAAACAAAAAACAGTGTATTGCATGCATGCATACAGTGGCCCTGCAGTAAATACAACATTTTGAAGCCTATAATGTTCCGTTGTTACTGGGATACAACACTACAGTATCTGATGGATGGTGGGCACCCAGTAACTCGGTGGGTAGGGCTGGAGTCCCATGGATGAAGGCTATGTCCTTACTGCAGCTGCTGCAAGTTTGATTCCAGCCAGCCCACAGCCCTTTGCTGCATGTCATCCCCCCTCTCTTCCCTTTTCACACTTAACCTGTCCTGTCCATTAAAGGAAAATTCCAAAAAAATCAATCACAAAAAAAAGCTATATCCGATGGATGACGATATTCTGAAGTGCATTATAGTGTAGCAGAGGGTAGGGGTGAACAATCAGTCAAATTCAAATTGATATTGCAGTGTAACAGAATGCCATTTTCAAATCAAAAAGCAGCTGTCTTTTTATGCTACACAATCTAATCACAAAGAGGCTTGGAAACACCTAGCTCCGCACACTGCCATACGTGTTGTGACATATGCGAATGAGAGCACATGAAGAAAACAACTTGTAAAGTGCAATGCCCAAGATTTGATGCTCGCTGTACTAATGTGTGAAAATGGCCGCGGCTGGGTTTTAGTGCGTTCCATATGCTTACATATTACATAATTGTAAGGGTAGTGTAATGTGTGCATAGCGAGTGTGGTGGACAAGTGTTGGCGATCAAAGCAGAGAACAAATTAACAGTAAAGTTGTTAAGTGGTAGTAAATGTACAATGTGGGTTGCTGTTTGTCCATGAATAAATGCTGTAGGTCATCAAGACCAAGTAAAGTTCCTGTGTCTTGTTTCCAACCACTGAAGTGAGCCAGTGAGCACCAGCGTGAGTCATAGAGCAGCTAGTCAGTGGGAACTTAATGTGATTTGTTACAATACTGTTACTGACAGGAGATTAGTAAGATTCATATTTAAATTTTAATGACATTATCTAGAGTCCATGTTGCAATGGGATCACTCCAGCCGTGATACAACAATCTACCTGCCCCCTGATTTCCTTAATCTGACCATCTTCAAAATTTGCCTTAATTTTCAGGACTGTATCTTGCAAGTTGTGATGCTATCACAGACAGATAGACATATTAACACCTGCCAAAGTAGTCAAAAATACTTCTGTGGTACAGGAGTTTCTGCTATTATAGGTGCCTCCAACACCACATTTTGATGTGTTTGATGACACACACACACACACACACACACACACACACAGACTCACAAATCAGAAACAATAACAGCAGTTGTGACGTGAAGATAGAGGACGATAAGGAACTTTCAAAACACAAACTGACTTGGTTTTATTTGCAATATCAGTCTACAAAATCATAGCTACACTATTTTCCAATATCATTCAGCCCTACTAGAGAGTGTATTTATTTTTAAGTTTGAGCTTCACAAAGACTGCATTCATTTAATGTTTATAATTCAGTTGATTAGATTGTATGTTAATCTTTAACAAAGAAAAAAATATTTAGTATATGCTGTCAGGCTGTGACACATTTTTTTTGCTATAAGTATTTTCTCAATGAATCATTTATATGCTTAGTCTGTAAAATGGCAGAAAAAAATGTAGAGAACAAAACTATATAAATTTTAAAATGATATGAAACAGAAAAAAGCAACTTCAGAAACTGGAACAAGAGAGTTTTTGACAATCTTGCTTGATGAATGACTTTAACAATTATCAAAATTGTTGCTGATTAACTTCCTGGTGAATGACTAATCCATTAATCAGCCAGTCCTAATCAACAGTAATATGATGTACATGTTTCCTAAATTATCAAAACTAACTGGTTCATTTGAGAAGAATTTTTATTGTAACAAATTATTATTCATTAAAGATATAAAACACTTGACAATTACTTTGACAACACGCTGTGTTACTGTTTCCGCTGTAGTCTCACCATCAGCTGCTTTGGCTGAACTGGGACTTTGAAAACTGCAGAGCAGCCATAATGAAATCAGGAAAGAAATAAATGTATATCATATTTGTAAGTAGAGGGCCACCCCCATCCCACATCCTCGTCACGTGCCTGTTTTCAGAGACGGGAGTCAGATGAGGAAAGTGAGACCTGGAGCCCATTTGTATTCATTACAGAGAGACAGTCTGCTCTCCCTCTGCCAGTCCAGCCTCCATCTCTCTCCATCTCTCTGTCACACACCTCAACACGCCAGAGAAGAGAGTCTGACAAACCAACAGACAGATAGATTCAACTTCCTCTGTATAAACAAGAGCTAAGAGAGGTGATGGCGCATCTGCCTCCCTCATCAGCACGGGAACCGGAGGCTACTGGCCAGCCGCAATACATACAGTGACCACACCACGAGCTCATCATGTTACACCCTGAGTCAACACATGATGCTCCGCTCATGGTGTAATAAAGCTTGTGCTGTGATATTAGCTCCATCTGTAAATTTTTACATGGTGATAGCATATATATTCTGCACATATGTTACCTCCATCTGCAAATCTGATAATGTGAACAGCTTACAATGCATATTTACACTCGAGGACACATTTCTGTTCATTTGTTTTTCCATCTGCGCTCCGTGACAATCTGAATAGCTGCTGATGCACATGTCGCCTGCACAGCCATTCCAACCTCCGAGTCTGTCTGTGAAGACAATGCATATTTAACTGCTCTGTTTTCAAGATGTTTGGCTGTTATTTCTATCTTTAGCAGATTATCTTAGCAAATTTTATGATGATGCATTTTCACCTTTCTAAGGCGACATTCTAAAGCAGAGAGACCACAGGTGTAAATAATGAGATAAGTTATGGCTGAATTCCATTTAGCTGCTTCAATTTCAGGGTCCTGATATTTTGATTGCTGTCATGGCTTACTGGGACGCTTGAATAGAACAGAATCATAGTTAATGTTATTAGTCGAGAGATATTTC